AATGAAGTTACTACCACTGATGTGACTGTTACCGATAATGGGACTTTTCCTGATGGAGTAGATGAACCGCACGTGAAGCAGAAGCCAATAAGATGGAGACTAGTAGGTAAGAAGAAACGTCCTGTAAAATTAAGAAACTTTGTTGTATTTTAATTTTATTTTTGTAAATTCTGTACATTTAATTAAGTTATTGTTAATTATCAATTGGTTAAATGTAAGTGGCTATTGTTCGGGACGAACATTACTAAGGAAGGGGAAGTGTTACGACAGCGGAAGTCGCGTGACGCTGGGAGCATGCGCTCTGGAATTTCTTGAATGATCATGAAGGCTCGAGTGTATTCGAGACGCCCTCTTTGTAGTATATAAGCCTGGCGAGAAAAACTAGCGGGATTGAAGATTGAAGAGATAGATAATTGAGTGAAGCGAACAGTAAACACCGTAAGTAAAGTGTGTGAATCAGTGTGGTTTATAGCGTGTGTTATAAAGGTTGTTAAGTTTAAAGTGACTGTGAAAATTCTGCGTATTATAAAGAGTCGTATCGAGAAAGAATAAACTGGTTTAATCAAGAAAGGACTTGTATCACTGAAGTTCCTTGGAAAGAATTTCTACCGGAAATGATCAAACAAGCAGATATGTAACAGCACGTTATCAGAAACGTGTGTGGGGTAGTTCAGGAATTTTATAGACTATAAGACAGGTGTCTAGGATATTCAAGGGATTTTATAATCTCCTGGTCCAATAACACTGTGGATTTTCAGCGTCCCGAGAAATATTGTTTGATGTCAATATTTCTATTTAATTAAGTTTGATGTCAATATTTCTACTTCATTAAGTAATGGATATCTTTAAATGCCCCTATATCCCTTCTCCACCTTTTCTTTATTGATGGAATAATATGAATTATTACTATAGGTCTGCAACTACTAGTTATAAAACCAATATTCGTGAAGACTACAGTAGGCCACATAACAAATAACGTCATCCTCTTTATTTACACAGACTGGAAACCACTTATTATCTCACGGCTGGGTTTATTAGATACGAATTAAAACACTGACTCAGACTGCAAAACACTTAATATCTTACGGCTGGGTTTATTAGATATTAGCGATGCACGGGTACCCGGCCAGATAATCGGGTCCGGCCGGGTATTGGGCTACCCAGTATTACTCCGCTCCGGCCGAGTGTCGAAGTTAGGCATTAAGCCCTAAATCTTTGTGACAACTAACGCGGTATTGAAAGTTACAGTCAATAATTAGTTTAGTTAAAAAAAAAAAAGTGTTCCGAGCAGCAATAACTGACCGTCCGCTGAAAGTCAGGGATTCAGAGAAGAATAGGGGTTAATAACACGCATGGCTTTAGAAGTAGATTAAAGTCATGGATTCAGAGAAGAATAGGGGTTAATAACACGCATGGCTTTAGATGTAGATTAAAGTCATGGATTCAGAGAAGAATAGGGGTTAATAACAGGCATGGCTTTAGAAGTAGATTTCTGGGGAAGGTGGGTTTTTTGAGAACAATAGGGGTTTGGGTTTGAGAAGTTGGGGCTAGGCATTGAAAGTTGAAAGTAAAACTTGAATTCTCTGTTGGTAAGTATTCGGTCAAATGTAATAAACATCAATCTTGTTTTTTTTTCTCTCTAATTTTCGTGCATGTTGTTGTTTTTTTTGGGGGGGTAAGGGGAGGACCCTGTCCGGTTTACACCCTGCCCAGGCCGGAGCTTAGTAACCTGGTACCCGGACCCGGTATTCGGCCAAATTTTACTACCCGTGCATCCCTATTTAGACATGAATTAAAACACTGACACTAGCTGGAAAACACGTGAAATCTCAAAGCTGGGTTTAGTTGACATTCAGCATGAAGTGCCCATTCTAATTTCTTCTCAGCAGATAGACCGAAATGTTGTCTTACTCCAGATACAAAGCAAGAGCAGTATATTAATAACTAGTTTGGATGGAAGTTATGTTAATTCATGATTAATGAAAGGTTATCTTAGGAAATGAAAAGTTGCTCCTCTTATATGTCATTGTAAAAAAAAAAAAAAAAAAAACGCTCATAAAAACTGGAAAACACAAAATACGAAACCGCAAATTTGGTGAATATCCATCTACAGGGGGCGAAGTAGTGGTACAAAACGCAAAAACGTCCATAAAAACCGCAAAACTAATAATTTGTAAGTTGCTCCCCAAGGACCCCTCATAGACCTAATGAACCTACATTCCAGTTATGGTGAAGATCCATCTACAGGGGGCGAATTAGTTACATGGACAGACAACAGACAGTACCATTATATTTATATAGATTTAAATGAAGGCTAACTAAAATACCAATGGAACAAAGATAACGTTTATTATTTTATCTTCAGATGTTGTCTGAAATGTTTCTGCCTGTATAAAGATTTGGAATTTCTAGTATTACATAAAAACAACAGTGAACTTAGTTCAAGCATTCCAACTTTTCCTTTCCGATTTTACTTTAATTTTACTTGTTATTGTAAACGGAGTGTAAACCTAGGAATAATAAAAGGTATTTGCCGTTATAAAGACGTTTTTGTTTTTTAGCTTACTCCAACAATTTGGAACTTTTGTTGTGTTCCACTTGAAGTCATGGCGACAGTATATCGAAGTGACATTTGATTGGCTGGTTGGAATGACGTAGCCTTCATAGCACAAGTACATACAAACTGTCCCCGCAGGATAACTCTCTGGTTTTGGCCAACATTCGATAGTTCCATTTGACGGTAAAGATGGGGGGCTACATTCTTGGTCTAAAAAAAGGAAAAAAAATATAAATTTGTATCAATAATTCACCTGGTTGTGATTGTGGCTAACACTAGATTCTTAGAGTTGATATATATATATATATTATGTATAAATACAAGATTTTTTATTACAGATGTACACACTAACGAATACATAATAGCGCCAGTAAAGCTGTAACAAAACAATCTACCATTTATACAAAATTTTTATTGGTATCATTTTAAAGTTAAAATGTCTGGGGCCATAGCACCCAAAAGTAGTGGAGATATTCAGTCTATCAGATATAATCAAAGCAACAGATGTTATCAGATATCTATTTTTATGTCATCAAGGTTGACTATCATGCCCACATCCGGCTATAGACAGTGAATGGTAGTTGAATATGGGTCACTGAGGAGTCTAGCAACCATATCCTGACCCCCCACATCCGGCTATAGACAGTGACTAGTTGTGAGATATGGGTCACGGAGGGGTCTAGCAACCATATCCTGACCCCCCACATCCGGCTATAGACAGTGACTAGTTGTGGGATATGGGGCACTGAGAAGTCTAGCAACCAGATCCTGATCCCTTATTGAATCTGTACCTTGCTTTCTAGTTTTGCATTTGTTGTGTTGATTATGTCTGATAAACGGAATATCCACAATGATTTTGGGTGCTATGGCTTCAGACGTTTTAAGTTTGAAATGATATCAGAAATAATTTTGTATGAATTATATAAATTTAAATTGTTTTGTCACAGTTTTGCTAGATCGACCATGCATTTTTTTGGTGTATACATGATGTATGTATCAGATTACATATATACTTAAATCTTACACGACTTTTTAAAACAGTCTGATATACTCTAATGAACGTATGGATTTCTTCAAACCAACTACAAAAGAAGTAACTACTTATATTTTGTAAATTCTTAGCTTTAACACACAAAATATATTTACATCAAAACTTTTCACTAACTGGTAAGAAACCCATGCTCACTCTGAGGCTTTGTTTTCAACAAATAAAAACGGATTCGGGTGGTTTGGAACGAAAAAGTAAATATTAGTTTCAGGTAAGCAGTGAAATCTGAGCAACAATACACACACGTTTACTCGATCTATGATAATATTAGGGGGCTATTTTAAACAAGAGAAAACCGTTTGTTTCTTTGGAAATGATGGAAACCATTGTGCAACTTAATAAAACTGTATACCTTAAAACTACAACTTATTAAAACTGTATGTTGTAAACTACAACTTATTAATACTTTATGTTGTAAAACTACAACTTAGTAAAACTATATGTTGTAAACTACAACTTATTAATACTTTATGTTGTAAAACTACAACTTATTAAAACTGTATGCTGTAAAACGACAACTTAGTAAAACTATATGCCTTAAACTACCTATATGTAGAGACTACAACCTGTTATGCCTTTTATATCTAATCCTGGATTTGAGGTTTTATAAATATACATATGATTTTATGAAAATGCCATTCAGGCAATACATGTAAAACGTATTTATTTATAGACTTGCTTTAACATCATTATGACTTTATGTTTTGTACAAGTTCTATAAAATCCAAAATCATAACAAAATAATAATAAAAGAAAGAGATATATTACATTTTATTTTCAGAGTGTAAGAACACTTGGAAATTGTCTGCAGCTCCGGATCAGCAGCTGTACACGTGTTAATGTACTCTCCAGGTTCCAGTTCATCTTCCAGTGTACACTCCACATCCAGATCTCTTCCGTCTCCTGCTACAAACTTGGGTTTCTTTACACGTGCCATCCCACCTTCGGCCACCACGGTTTTGTTGTTGCAATCCACAGGTTTAGGCACAACAGCCTCTATAAGTGAGTATGTGAAACACGGTTACTGGTTTTATAAACATTCAATTAACCATGATGTTTTTTATTTGATCTACACAGCATAGAAATCTAAACTGTTTCCAAATCTACAGTCGAATACAACATGGGCAAAAAATGTGTATAAAGTAATTAAACCAACATATACATTATTATGTGAATTTTGAAGATAAATTCTTGGCTAAACAATATTGAGTTTCAGGTATAAAATTATTTGAAAACAATGATATTCGTTTAGAGAATAATTTTGACAGTACAAACTGAATGTTTAAACTTGTCTAGGACATATGTAACACAGTATTCAGGTCTACGTCTACGGATCGGGATTTAGGGAGACCAGGGAGGATCAGGGGCAATGGTTGATCCCTTCCCTTACTTTTCGTTTACTTTCTGTCACTGTTTTCTTTCTTTTTTTTTGCTAGAAATTCGTATTTTTATCAATATACCAGGATCAAGTTGTGTCAAAAAGTCCACTTTGACCTCTATAAGGCCAATGTCTATGTATGTCATGAAAATAGTAATAGCTATGTAATTATTACTGTCGCTTTATTTGTTTGTCCGAATGTCCTGCACGCCGTAAACAGTTCAATAATAGTGCAGTATTGTGGATGATATTAGTAAATGAAACTAAGGAAGTTATAATCATTTAGCCTGAACTAACGTAAAACTAAAGCATTCGTTATTAAAACTTTCAACACTTAGATTCGAATTGTTGTGAGCTGCAAATATGTAATACGTCAGGATGTCACAGGCAAGTATGTAATACGTCACGGTGTGAGTAGCATGTAAGTAATACCTTACGGTGTGAGCAGCATCTAAGTAATACTTCACGGTGTGAGCAGCATGCAAGTAATACGTCACGGTGTGAGTAGCAAGCAAGTAATACGTCACGATGTGAGCAGCATGTTGGTAATACGTCACGATGTGAGCAGCATGTAGGTAATACGCCACGGCGTGAGTAGCATGTAGGTAATACGTCACGATGTGAGCAGCATGTAAGTAATATGTCACGGTGTGAGTAGCATATGGGTAATACGTCACGGTGTGAGTAGCAAGTAGGTAATACGTCACGGTGTGAGTAGCATGTAACTAATACGTTACGGTATGAGCAGCATCTAAGTAATACGTCACGGTGTGAGCAGCATGCAAGTAATACGTCACGGTGTGAGTAGCAAGTATGTAATACGTCAGGGTGTAAGCAGCAAGTATGTAATACGTCAGGGCGTGAGCGGCATGTAAGTAATACGTCATGGTGTGAGCAGCAAGTATGTAATATGTCAGGGTGTCACAGGCAAGTATGTAATACGTCAGAGTGTGAGTAGCATATAAGTAAAACATCATGGTGTGAACAGCATGTAAGTAATACGTTATGGTGTGAGCAGGAAGTATGTAATACGTCAGGGTGTGAGCAGCAAATATGTAATACGTCAGCATGTCACAAGCAAGTATGTAATATGTCAGGGTGTGAGCAGCAAGTAAGTAATACGTCAGGATGTCACAGGCAAGTATGTAATACGTCACGGTGTGAGTAGCAAGTACGTAATACGTCAGGGTGTCAGCACCAAGTAAGGAGTACGTAACAGTGTTTCTAAAAGTGTAATCAAAGGTCTGTAAAATCAACAACCACCAACACTAATGATAATATCGAAATATTATAGATAAAACCTCGATCTTATGTACATACATTTCAGTTATTCAAAACTACAAAACATGATATAATTTTGCCCTTTAAAAAACGTCACTAAGCATAATGGTTCCAGTTTTATATACAGTTAATAAACAAAATACATATTTTACGATAGAAGATCTAACACCCATACCTCACATGTATTCTCGAAATAAAAGACATTTTCTAATTCAAAACTTAATGACTAATCAACTAATTTTCATTTGTATTTATAACAAAACCCTAGTTTTGAACTGTTGACCAGAGGAAAAGTAGCCAGTCAGCAGAACCATATCACCTATCATTAGCGCTAAGAGATTGACTGTCACTCTTATAACGCACCCACAATTTAAATTGAGGGATTTTTTATGGTATCGCACGAACTTGTACCAGGGTCGTCAGCTCCTAAATCCAGAGCTGTAGCATAGTGCCCATTTGAGCCCAGCTTACTAATCAGTTAATCTAGAAATCAGCGTTTTTAAGATTTAGAAAACAAAATCCGCGCAGTTTGACATGGAATCCAGTTAGTAGTACTAAGGATAGAGCACAACATTTATCACTGTAAATACCACCAGACAAAGAACGTCACTTTGAATATATATTAAGTAGCTTACTTCGACAGTCTGGTACTTCGGTTATATTCCATTTATAGTCGTGACGACAGTATCTTGAGGTGATAGCTGATTGGTTGACTGGAATGACGTATGCGTCACGACAGCGGTACTTGCAGACTGTTCCTGAAGTATAACTGTTTCTTTGAGGGTGACACTCTGTGTATCCATTTTGTATATTTGGCGGGGAGCGACACTCTGCGGCTATAAAAACAATAATTTGTCTCCATGTATACCACGTGCTTTTTTCAAACATTCGGCAGTAAAGATAAATTACTGTAGAAAGGTCAGTATGATTTATGGAAAAGTTTAGTAGAGAAACAAATAAACTATGTTGTAAAAAGATAAAAATAATCATTAATCTCCAATGATTCAAGAACAGAAATAATGCATATAATAAACCTGTGTAACTGGGTTGTATATAGTTATCTCTATCTATGTTAGGTACTTTTAAAAACCTTTTAGAATGATCATGCAACCATTCACAAAACACTGAACAAAACTTGAAATGAAACTTTTCTGTGGCGAAGCGAGTTTATTTGCATGTGACGATACCTACTTAAATACAACGCGTTGAATGTTTTTTACCTTAACATTTACCTTTACGTTAGGAAAAAAATAGACCCTTTACAAGGAAGAAAATTTTATTTACTTGAGTCAAATGTTAGCAACATTTTTATTTTATTTTATAAATAAGCTAGGTTTGTTCTAAAAACACTTTCCGTTGAACTAAATAAGATCATAACACAGTGTAATAATTACAATACACCTCAGGCATTGCCCACTACCTTACCCTTCACAGTCACTTTCTGGAAACAACTGGCAGACGTCTGTAGCTCTGGGTCCACTGCAGCACATACGTTAATGTACTCCCCTGGTTTCAGTGGTTTCTCCAGTGTACACTTTACATCTGCATCTTTCCCGTCTTCTGTTAAAAAACTGGGTTTCTTCACTTGAATACCTCCAGTTTCGGCCACCAGGGTTTGATCTATACAGTCGAGAGGCCTGGGCGGAACGGCTTCTGTTATGAAACACACAAACATACACACACATATATATAAGAAATCAAGCAGTTGAGATGTGTTCATGTTTTGCTACTGCATAATATCCGGACCACAGTTTTCTTTGTAGAATTCCGTGCAAAGCTACTCCAGGGCTATCTGCTCAAGGTGTCACTAACTGAGAAGTGATAGACTAGTGGGAAGAAAGCTAGTCAACGTCACCCACCGCCAACTCTTTGGCTACTCTTTAGAAACGAATAGTGGGATTCGCCATCACATTCGAATGCCTTCACGACTGTAAAGACGAGCATGACAGGTGAGGTAATTTGAATCATCGACCGGTAGATTGTGAGCCGAGTGGCCTAGTCACCAGGTCATGTCAGGCCAGACCAAAGAAATTGAAGAACTTAAAACATTAAATTCAACGTTTTTGTGGTTTCGATTGATGGGCATTTATTATTTATATCACAAGGGCGCCGCTACTTTTAAAAAGCCCCTCGGTGGGGGATTTTAAAAAGTCACCAGATTTACAACTCTAAAATCAGGGGTTCGATTACCCTCGGTGGACACAGCAGATAGCCCGATGTGGCTTTGCTATAACAAACACACACAGTTTTTAAACAAATATACACACAGGAGGTCTGAAGTATCAAGAGTGACGAACCCTCCCGGCCAGAAGGTGTTGGGTTTTATCTTGATAAAGTTCAGTAACATCAGTTTATATTGTCTTTTGCTTTCTTTCTGCTTTTCACAATGTATTATTATTAGGTTCTGCATCATGAATGATACGCAAATGCATGTTTTGCGTAATGGGCACGGCCACCCTAAAAACCGTAATATCTGTATTACAAGAAAACAATTAAAGAAACCATACCTATATAAATAAACATACAGAGGATTGAGTATGTTACAAAAAAACTAATTTTTTATATGCAAACTAGCATGTTATGTGACAATCACAGCCGATATAAAGTCTCAGTGAAACGGAATTTACCAGAACTACATTTTGACATTGCCATTTTTTTTTGTAGTGTAATGCCTCCAGAAACATCGCTTTTGGGAAGGGTATGTAACAGCTCTTTCCGACGCAAAAAATATTTATATATTCAGGTCATAGATATGTGTTCAGATAAAACATTTAGAATTTCCAAAACAGGGATATCCCTTGTACGTAATGGAAATGGAAAACAAAGGAATATAGATCAACTTGAGAAATACGGAACATCCAGAAAGAGACTTGCAACAAGTCGTATCCCATTTGCGTCTTGTAATAGATGAAAATCTACGAACACAAACGTCAGTGGCAAAAGCCGTCGACGTATCTCAGGCAACAGTATGCAATATAATCAAGTAGTATCTTCGTCTGTAAAAGCAACACAAGTGATTTACAAGTTGCTTCCGCGACATACCCGTTCAACCGTGCATACCTCAAGCACCTGTAGAAAGAAATTCGGTTTAATCCGAACATTTTTTTTTTATATCTGAAATATCTGAAAAAACTCGCGATGCTATTCTAAAAGTTTCATTTGTTTGGTATTGCGCAATTTTCTACATAATTATTTTACAAAAATAAACACAAAGTTTGATATACAACGTAACTACTAGTCCAAAAACGAACGAAAAAAGCTTTGAACATAAAACATGCTTATAGCAATAAAAGATGTAAAGGTTATGAACCTGAAACTCCAGAATTAGGAACTGAATTACAAACTTTGTGAGGGCTAAAAGGACAGATTAAAATCTTTAAAATAACATTTTAATTTTTAAAACAAATCCCCGCCGAAAGGCTAGGTAAAGCTAAAGCTGAATAACGTTTATTTACTACAACCTTAACCGAGTGAACTGAACCAAATAATTGTATATTTTACATTATACTCTCAAACCAATGACTAATTCTCTGGAATCATACTTTATTGTTGACTTTGTATTTGGTATGACATACAGAAAATGTGCTCAAGACACCAATATTTAGAGTTAAACCTTAAAAAAAAGATATATATATATATTTAAATAGGAACCTCAGGAACTATTCCAAAAAAAGGGAAACTTTAGGAACCATTTCTTTAAAGAAACGGAGCTTTAGGGATAATATATTTAAAGAAATGAAATTTTTAGGGACCATTTCTTTAGAGAAAGGGGTCTTTTAGGAACCCATTCTTTAGAGAAAGGGAACTTTTAGGAACTAATTATTTAAAGAAAGGGACTTTTAGGACTCTTTTTATTTTTTTTATTAGGAACTTTAGGGCCCAACTATTCAACTATGAACCCTGAAAAAACTGCTTATTAAATCAACAATATTTAGTAAAATATACTAATGGTGCCAGCAACACTCACTTTACAATAATAAGCTATCTATCTATATACTACTAAAACTCTAAGATTGTTTGTCTGTAATTAAATACTGCAAGGACGGCGCACAATAGCGCCATATTTGTAATGAAACGAGAATAGAAATAGAATAAAACAAGTTTCGTTAAAATCAGGCCACGGGGTACCGAGTTAGCGCCGTTTTACGGGTCACTTTTATGAAAATTTATAGATGAATTTAGGTACACTAGATGGCGCTACATATATGTTTATCTATATATCTATATACTACTAAAACTCTGAGATTGTTTGCTTGTCTGTAATTAAATACAGCAAAAACGGTGCACAATAGCGCCATATTTGTAATGAAGTGGGAATAGAAACAGAATAAAACAAGTTTCGTTAAATGTTGAAATTAGCTTGAATTCTTCATAACCTCTGAATAGTGGGGTGACCCAACGGGCCCAACTGTTACTACGGTGAATATTAGAGACCGTGTGATAAGAAATAATGAAATTATCCAACTGTTACTATGGTGTATATTAGAGACCGTGTGATAAGAAATAATGAAATTACCAACTGTTACTATGGTGTATATTAGAGACCGTGTGATAAGAAATAATGAAATTACCAACTGTTACTATGGTGTATATTAGAGACCGTGTGATAAGAAATAATGAAATTACCAACTGTTACTATGGTGTATATTAGAGACAGTATGATAAGAAATAATGACATTATCCAACTGTTACTGTAGTATAAATTAGAGACCGTGTGATAAGAAATAATATCGGGTGACTTTTATGAAAATTTCTAGCATGAGTAATTTTACATCACGCTACCGTTCGCGCTCTTAACGAAACTTCTTACTTCACAGTTTTGAAAAATGAAATGGCCTTTCCTTTTACTCCCGATCAACAATCAAATATATTTATTGAATTATGAATAACACGAATGGATTGAAATATTTGATTAAATTATCTCAAAATAAACCTTCATTTCGGTGCAATATTGCAATTAGCTTGAATTCTTCATAACCTCTGAATAGTGGGTGACCCAACGGGTCACGGTGGTTTAGTAAGTGCTAAATATCTCATAGTAACAAATGTAGTTTGAACTGTATTACATTGTTGTAATTTTATATTTCAGTTTCTGTCATTTAATTCGATCGAAGGTGCTTTTAAGTAGTTCTGAGGCTTTCATTGAAAAATTACATGATGGTTATTCTGCAAGGAATTTAGGCTTAGTAACAAACTTCTTCGTAAGAAAACTACAGGTAAATAGTTTCATGGTCTACAGAAATATTGGTAAATGGAACTTATACTATCACTCAAGATTACTAAGACTAACTGTATGATAATGTAATTCATAAATTTCACGTTTTTCTAGCTTACTTTGACAATCTGGAACTTTAGTTGTGTTCCATCTAGAGTCGTGAAGACATTTTCTCGAGGAGATATCAGATTGGCTGACTGGTATGACGTAGCCACGATGACAGTGATATTTGCAGACTGTTTCTGGAAGATATTTGCCATGCTGCGGTCGACATTCCATATATCCTCTTTCTGTTTTAGGAGGAGTGCTACATTCTGAGGCTGAAAAAAAGTCACATAACTTCTCTACTTCGAATGTAAAACTTTGTAAAACGTTTTCGTTATTATTATTGTTAAATGGCTTTAATCTTTACATACTCATGGAAGTATCTATTTTTCAACAGGAACTTTGTGCACCAAAAGAGACAGACAGATTAGATTTCATAAGTGAAGCAAAAGAATATGATTCTCGAATATTCCTTTGTAGATATTTTGTTAAGATACCTAGAGACCACGCCAAACTTACAAACAGAAACAAAACTTCATGTGTATATGATGTGTTGATCTCGTTCTCAAATGATTTCTACGTGACTGTAGAAACTTTTAAAAATCTCCAAGAACACAGTGTTTACATGGGATTCAGTTAATACGAGGGTTGTTTAGAACGAGTTTGAGTAAACTGTGGCTAAGAAATGCTCGGATCAACAGATCAATATTCTGTCAGCTGCTAGCGACATTATATGTGACGAGTTTCAACATGGCGTGGAATACTAATGACATCGTTTTTGAATATTATGCTTCAACAATGCTCTTAATGAAAGATGGACAGCCGTGGTGTTGTACTCACTGACCGCTGACTATCCATCGTCCCGTGTGGTGGTAACCTGCACATCCTGAAGTCGGTCTGGAAGGTGTTCTCTTGCGATATGGTATTGCCGGGCCTCATAAACGTTTGACCTTGAGAAGTTCGAAAGGGGGAGTCCTGCCCCGTTCTGTACATGATTCTTATCTATCATCCCCTAACGTTCTTATTGCTTGCATGTTACATTTCCAGACAGCTGATATTTATAAAGCAGCTGTACGCTGTTGAATTCTTAATTAATATAACACCTGCATTTTAACAAACTGAGATAACGCAAGTAAATGTTGAGAAATGACTTCTAGTTGGTTGCCCACGTCTGAAGCATTACTAATGTGAGTTTGTTAGGTTGAAAGATAATATGCATGGCTGATCTACAGGGTGCTCCAAAAGTCGATTGCCATTGTAATATTTGGAGAGATTAACATTGTTTTTCTTCTTGCTTTGAAAATTTATTACACAATGTCATTGAGCATTGAAGATAATATGGAGTCATTGAGCGTCTTCAGTTCTGTATTGATTTTGAGGGCGGACATTTTGAGAATGTTCCGTAAGCTTATATATACATTCAACTATGGCAACTGACTTTTGGGTCACCCTGTAGAATTAATAAAAATTAGCTTATTTTAAAATATCCATCGTAGTTTCTTTCCTATTAAAATAAGCAGCTATTTACTAAAATTACTAAAACATAAAGTATTATGGGATTGACAAATTTCGTATGGAATTTCCTAGGACGGAAGCTAACCTTGTGTGTTCGAAACCTTACATTCGTTATCATTTATGGTAATCCTAACATGCTTAATTCAATGTATATTTATGTGTGTGTATGTGTACGTTTGTAAGTAACAACACGTTCATTACCTCACCTTTTACAACAACTCTTTGAAAACATCTGCCAGATGTTCGTAGTTCTGGATCCACAGCAACACAAACGTTAGTGTACTTCCCTGGTTTCAATAACCTACCCAGTGAACATTTTGGATCAATCTCTTCCCCTTTATCTGTTATAAATTTGGGTTTCTTCACTTGAACACCACCAGTTCCTGCCACTAGGATTTGATCAATACAATCGAGAGTCTTGGGCGGAACAGCTTCTGTCATGAAAGGAAAACATAATAGTCGAGTCTTCATTAATCTTTAAACAAGATGATCAGACGGTAATAAGACATGTTAAACGAAAGATATATTTAGACGAACATGTGAACGGACGATAAACAACATAGAATATTAGTAAGACGACGTCGCATGATTCAGTAAAGAAATGTGGAAAAAAGAAGAAGAAAAAGACTTTTAATTCCCAATAATTTTGATGAGAACTTTATGTAAGGTAAGACTTTTTTCTGTATCAATCCCATGGTCTTAAGTGAAATATTATTAAATACATACACATACGTGAAAGTTTATTGTTTTTATGGTATAACAGAATTGTTCCATTATTTAATTTCAGACACTATAAGTATAAAACAATAAGCTTGTTATGTTACCAATTTTGAACGTTAATGATATTGCAACAATAGAATGTTAACCTTGGTGTGCTAATGATTTCGAACGTTAATGACACTGCAACAATATAACGCGAAGCTTGATGTGCTACCAGTTCTAAACGTTGATGGCATTGCAACAATTTTACGTTAAGCTCGATGTGCCACTGATTCTGAACATTAATGACACTGCAAGAATAAACCGTGAAGCTTGATATGTTACTGTCAGAATTTATAAATCTGATCTTCGCCATGTGTTAAAATAAAAGGCTTTTACTTATACTTCTTAATAGTTTAAATATATATACTGTGTTGTTCTTGGGTTTAGGATTCTTCTACAGTAGGTGTCTGTGACTTGTTGGCGATAAATTCAACGACAATTAAACAGCACGCTTCACTTGTTTTCAAAATAATATATATATTCAGAACAAGTTAACATATGTTAAACAAATTCTCCAACAATATAGAGATTATAAGCATATCAAAAACACTATACATGTATTTCTCTCCTTCTTGTCAAAAGTCCACTTAAGCCTATGCAATTACCTTATAATTTCAGTTGACAAGTCGAACTATCTTCTGTATTATTATCGTATTAGTATTCTGCGTGTGATTCACTCACAGTTGTGGCGCAAGTTACTGTAATCGTTTGGTCTTCTTTTTTCTAAAGATCCTCTGTTCTGTTGCGTATCTGCTCGTTTGTTAATTTCCGGTATACATTCTTTCCAAGGAACTTCAGCGATACAAGTCCTTTCTTAATTAAAACTAGTTTATTCTTTCTCTATACAACTTTGTAATACACAGAATTTCCACAGTCAATTTAAACTTAACAACCTTTATAACACACGCTATAAATCACAGTATTTCACACACTTTACTTATGGCGCATACTGTTCGCTTGACTCAGTTATCTATTCCCTCGCGCTGGTTTTTCTCGCCAGGCTTATATATTAAAAAAAGAGGCGCCTCGAACAAACTAGAGTTGCCAGGAAAATTCATGATCCTTCCAGAAACTCCAGCACGCATGCTCCCAAAAACGCGTGCCTTACGCTGTAGTAACAGTTCTATTTTGTCAAAGTGCACTCAGGCTGAGTTCAATTACTTTAGAACCACGCTTTGACAGAATAATTCTTCTTCTTATCTTTTGTTAGTCT